CAGGATATCCACCGTGATGCGGTTTGGTCTAATACCGCTTGACCAAGTATGCCTTCAGGATATCCACCATATACGGTTTGATCTAATGCAGCTTGAACACCAAAACGACTACCCAACCCGAAAGTCAAGCGTCCCCTTCTCAGAAAGGGAAGCTTCCGTGACTGCCAGTGCATCGATGCAGACTTTACGGCAGACATCTTGCAGCTTACTTTCGTCAGTTAAGAAGTGAATGTTCCAACATGTAGCACGCTGCTTACCTCTTGTAGTACTTAGAGTTGGTTCCATGGGCGGAGTTCTTTGTTCGAAATTGTCTGCGAATTTGCGAACTTGAATCGTCCTGTGCGCAACTCATTTCCTCGAAAGCAATGAGTTACGACTCCGTATGTGAGAAATTAAATGAACAACTGCAGTTTTGCAAATGACTTTGACTGGCCATTGGCATCCAGTGCTGAAATGCTGCTGCAACTACATCAAAAATATTAATCACGTAGTTTGATGAATGGAGGAATGAACTAGACGAATGGATATGACATCCAGCAACCCGTCTTTCTGCTAAAACTTTAGTCAAAAGAACAATTTCACACTCGACAACACAAGTTTTGGGAAGTTTGAACTCTAAATGCATGCTAATTAGATATCAAAAACTGCTCAGTTTTTTACAGTGCCATTTGAAAGAAAATGACGGCATCTGCAACTTAAACGGATGGAAAATTTGTCTCTGAACGAAAACACGAATCATCCAGTAAAAGATCTGTTGTCAGATGATTGTAACTAAAAGACTTGAAAGTAAATCTCAAAGAAAAACAATGAAAAACGATATGAAAAACATTTTAAATGAACAAGCTTTCGCAATCTTTCAAGCAATAAAAAAACTGACAATCTTTTACAGAGAGCATCACTCAGCTTCGATGACCGATTTTCCTTTGGCGTTGCGAAAGCGTCTCCTATGCTTCCTACCCTGGGCCAATGTTTAAGCATACGCAGAAGAATTCGATAATCTTAAGCAAAGTCTGTAGTGGGATTTGTCCCAGCTCATCTTGGGCCTCCTTTGCGGTCTTCAGCCGATTTTTTGAACAGGCAGTAGATAATTCGCCTTGATTTCCAGAAGCATTCTCAAAACATGCCCATCTTAACGCAGCTGTG